GCACAATCTACTGAAACCTGCAGCAGCAATCCTTGGTGTTTTTCCTCGTCAGGGCTTATGCGGGTCCTGCTGGGCCTTCAGCTCTTTGGGAGCTCTGGAGGGCCAGATGAAGAAGCGAACAGGCTCCCTGGTTCCTCTGAGTCCACAGAACCTGGTGGACTGCAGCACCAGCGACGGAAACCTCGGCTGCAGAGGAGGTTACATCTCCAAAGCCTTCAGCTACATCATCCGCAACAGAGGCGTCGACTCGGAGAGCTTCTACCCCTACGAACACAAGGTCATCCCTCCTAAACGCTCACTCTATGTAACACTGAATCATAAATCATCATATTTCAGAGCTGGAATTATGTTTTGACAGGTGTGTCAAAACATCACACAGCACATGTAATCAATTTTTAGCTGAGATGTTGTGAGAATTGTGATTTGCATATTTACACTTTACGTATGCAGCGTGACTGTATGAATAATCTACGTGTGATATTCTGTGGAAGGCTGGGATTTGTTCTATATTTCGACTCAGCGGGTCCACAGTGTGTTTTATAAACCTCATGTCTGTGTGTAGAACGGGAAGTGCCGCTATTCTGTCAGTGGAAAGGCCGCGTATTGCTCTGACTTCCACGTCCTTCCTCGAGGAGACGAGCGGACTCTGCAGGCTGCGGTGGCGTCGGTGGGACCGGTGGCCGTGGCCGTGAACGCCATGCTGCCATCCTTCCATCTGTACAAAGGAGGTGAGGCTGGAGGCTGACAAATGTGGGGATTGTGTGCATAAATGAGGCCACGTTTTGGTTTTAGTACCACCTCGGACATCCATCCATCCATCGTCTATACACCACTTAATCCTCACTGGGGTCGTGGGGGGCTGGAGTCTATCCAAGCTGACTTAGGGTGAAGTCAAGCACACTCACATTCACACCTACAGACAATTTAGAATCACCAATTAACCTCAACATGTTTTTGGACTTGTGGGAGGAAGCCGGAGAACCCGGAGAGAACCCACGCTGCACAGGGAGAACAAACCTAAATTAAACTAAACCTAAATATATTTTATTTCTAATGTGGGATTTGTTCTTTTTTTTCAGGTTTTATTTTAATGGACATTCCTAATTTTTAGCGTTTACTGGTTGGTGAGGGATTTTAACTGCTGCATCAGGAATCGTGACGCGGAGGAAAGATTTGGGGAAATCCGGTTTAATTCAGGCTGCTGTGTTCGACGCTAACTTTGCATTTTCATTGTAGAGATTCGAACAAGGAAGGATTTGCATAAAAACGGTGTGTGTTAGAGCCAAAGTGTCATATTCCTTCAGCTTTCAAGAAAAAAAGGCTGATTTTTATACAAACAATTTTGTTATTTTCCATCTGACTTAAAGGAAACAAAAATTAGCGACCTAGCAGGAACGTTTCGCGAACCGGCGACCTTCTTACTGTGAGCCAACGGTGCTAACCGCTGAGCCACCTTGCAGCCTCCCACCTCAGACAACTTAAATCATGGAGAGTTAAATCAGCTCTGTGGTATTTATGGTACATTCAATACGTAACAGTTTCATTTGTCTTCAAGCTGTTTGGGGAAATACGGCACTAAACATGGCACCACATCCAGTTCCCTTTTATGAAGCGTCCACTCAATAAGCTCCTCCAGCCCTCTGGCTCGCTCCCTTTCTGACTGATTTTTACTGCTGCAGCAGTCCATAAAGCAACTGAAAGGTTCTAAAAACAAAAATAGGTTTCAGGCTGAACTATTCTGCAGGTACTAGAAGTTGAAATTCCTCTCCAGTCATTGATTTAACCCCTAAAAACTCACCTCTGTGTGTCAAAGTTACATATTTTGAATATTTTTCCATGTAAATATTCTGATCTGTAATACTGGAGTCAATCAGAATCAAAAAACAAGTCTGAAGAAGAACAATGACACACAAAGCTCCAACTTACAAGGATTGGTTCTTTAGGCGTGTTGCATATAAAAACCCTGAAAGTCTGAACCCGTGCTTTTTAAACTGTCAACAGTATGCTTTAGTTTGGAGGTGTTCAGCCATGTTGCTGACTGCTTATGTCGTTCATGATACAGTATGTCCTCCACCATATTGACATGTTAACAAAATAACACCTTTACCATCTGCCATATTTATGACTGATTTATTTATTCAGTGTGAAAACAAAAGTTTAAAAAAAATAAATGCACGTTATTTTGAGTTATTTGTTATTTAGGTCTGTCCTAAAATGGGTCAGATCTCACAGAAAGTTAACAGGCGGCACATCCAATTTGATTTTTGTTTAGGTTTTGTAAAGTATTTTATTTTATAATGCCAATCATGATTTCATTCGTACAGCACCTTCACAGTTACCAGGAGCTTCACAATAAAATGAATGTCAAATTAGAAGAAAAAAAATAAAACTAATTCGAATAAATAAATAAGATTCCAAGCATGCAACACAAACGAGATGAAATAGTCAAATCAAAGACATTATGACTGGTTTGATAAAAGTAAAAAGACTAAACATGGCAGTTAATAAACTACCAGTGATATTTAAGTTGTGATTGCACCATTGCCTCACAGCAAGAAGGTGGCCGGTTCGCATCCTGGTGAGGACACCCAGGATCTTTCTGCATGGAGTCTCCATGTTCTCCCCGTGCAGCGTGGGTTCTCTCCGGGTTCTTCCTCCCACACAGTTCAAAAACATGTTGAGGTTAATTGGTGATTCTAAATTGTCCGTAGGTGTGAATGTGAGTGTGCTTGGTTGTCTGTCTCTAAGTGTAGCCCTGTGATAGACTGGTGACCTGTCCAGGTGAACCTGCCTTCACCCTGAGTCAGCTGGGATAGACTCCAGCCCCCACGACCCTAGTGAGGATTAAGTGGTGCATAGATGATAGATGATGGATGGATGGATGGATGGATGGATGGATGGATGGGTGGATGGATGGACTACTACTTGACTATAATACATATTAAGCATAAAATCCTATAAAGTTACTGATTATGGAGATGAACTGATGTGAAGTATAGCTGGACTCTACAATACATGAATTAAACGACATTATCAGTATATAAATTCTGGAACTTCACCAAACTGTTATAAATATGAACATGACATTGCTACTGTGTTGTTTATTATGCAGATTAACGTGACTAATTTAGAGCTATTTTTTAATTTTTTTGGTATTTTATGGTTATATTTGAAGAGTTCATTTGCAAAAACAGATAACTCCATCTTCACAAACCTTCAGAACACCCACTTTTCCATCGTCTACCTGAGACAATATTAATCAAACTTAAGTTATCTCTATTTTTGTACTGAGTCAAATCCGCTCAATTTCAGTTTGATTGATGTTATCTCAAGCAAACAACTACAAACATGGAGTTATCTGTTTTTGCAAATGAACTCTTCATTTTTCTTCATAGACTGGAAGCTGTCAAGACTGAACGTTAAAGTCAGCTTAATGTTATACTACTACAACTAAAGTCTCCATTAGATGTCAGCAGACAGAGACTGATGAGAGGCTTTAAACTTCATGTTTCATTTTCTCAGTAACCGTCAGTAAACGTGTGTGTCTCTTAGGTTTATACAACGTTCCCAACTGCAACCCAAGGCTAATAAACCACGCCGTCCTGGTGGTGGGCTACGACACAGACGCAGGACAAGACTACTGGCTGGTGAAAAACAGGTGAACTTCCTCATCCCAGATCTACAGTCCCTCCTGCTCACTACACTCGACCAACAAAAACCACCTGATGCAACCATCACAACAGGGCCCGAGGTCGATAGCTTCTCCTCTGTGGTTCCGCGGTGGTGAAACGAGTTACCAAACGCTGACTCCCTCTCAGTCTTTAAGAAAAGACTAAAGACCAGATCTGCACTGAACACCTTTGCACTTGACAGACTGAAAACTAACAAAAAAATAAACACAAATAAATTCCTATGATCTCCCACACAGCCTGCTATTGGCATCAACGCCCTATCACACTTCAATTTGTTCTACGGCACTTATCCAGATTGTTTTCTCCTGACTAGATCCTTGCTTGTGTTGCATCTGCTCTCAGATGTACGTCGCTTTGGATAAAAGCGTCTGCAAAGTGAAATTGTAGAACTATAGTCTGACGTTGAACGCGAGTGTTTTTGTTGTGTTTTCCAGTTGGGGAACTTCGTGGGGAGAAGAAGGCTTCATCCGGATCGCCAGGAACAAGAACAATCTGTGCGGCATTGCCAGCTTGGCGGTTTACCCGACGCTGTGAAGATGTCACCTCACTTTAGGTTATTTTAATTTCATATCCAGACGTTTGTTGCGATCGTCTTTAACGATATAAAGACTTCAGGGCAGACGCTGGCCTGAACATGAAAAGAATTTGTTTTGAAAGCACAGGAAATCCTTGTACCTGCTTTGGTAGCTTGGTATTTTACTTTTTTTCGACTGAATATTTAAAGCATACATGTCTGTTTATTTTCTTTTATCGGAGCTAACACTGTATTCCATGTATTTATTTAAAGATTGATATTTAAATGTCAGCTTTTCACTTAATGGATTCAACAGAACTCATGTCAATACTGGAAGAAGCAAAAGAATTCTCTAGTCTGCTGTAGTTAAAATGAGTTAAGTGCTGTAGCACTGTTCAGGATGACACGGAAATTAGATATGATCATTATTATTTTATTAGAAGGAGGCGCTTTTCTCAAGGTTATTTACATTTTTTAAAAAATGAGGATAATAAATGTTTTCTAAACTGGTTTCCTTTTGTTTTTGGTGGTCAATAATTCCAGTCTACTATGTGTTATTGCTCTACAGATCTCATTTCTTTGATTATTATTGTACGTTTGAGCTTCCTGCACCAGGACGAATCCATATCGGTGATACAAACGCAGCTCGCTGACATTTTTTCAAAGGTAGCCGAACCTGTCACATCCACCGAAGAGGCCGTCCGGTTCTGCTGCAACTAGAACGGACGCAGCTTTTAGAGCGTTTCGTTCAGTTCAACAGCGTACATGTCACTGAGTCATTGTTATGAGGCGTTTAATTACTCTCTAATTTAGAGTTTTGATCAGGCAGAAGTTAAAAATGTCAGTTGTTGCTGGAGGTTTTCAGACCTCACTCTGGGCTGACGATGGGGAGGATTTTAAGATTCTGCAAAGCGTCTTTCATCCGTAGAGCTCGGTTTCTGACTGAATTTTAGATTTTTTATTTAACTTTTTTCGAGTGAAACTTTCAAGAAACAGCCTAGAGCTTAAGAAGATATGTTGAAAAGGAGTGCGTATAAATGTATTTATTCTCCCTCTCGATAGTTTAAGTTCAATAACTTTTGAAATTCATCAAACTATTAAGCCCACAAAACAAAAAATTCAGTTTTCTGAGCTACAGAAACTACATAACGTACAAGAGGAGTATGTCATTCAGCATGCTGGTAATATTCCTACACTAGGAGCAGAAACATACTGTACAAAAATATGTTTTTAACAGTTTTCAAGTGTAATTCTTGTTGCTTGATTCTGCAGCTCCACTTGGCTTTGTGAAGGAAAAATAAAATATGTAAATAATTTATAAGATTTACACATGTAAAAGATGTTGTGCAATGTGAAACTACAGTTGTCCTCAGATGTATTCCTACCCTTCCATTAAAGAAAAGGCAAAATTCACAACAGTCACTCAAATAACTAGAAACTGAAAAAAGTAATAATAAATAAAAATTTGTTAAATTATAATTTAGTGAAATGAGACATTGCTTTTGAATTGTGGTTGAAAAGATTAATTTAAAAAAAATAAACTAAAAACTGTCCCATACAAATTAGAGCACTTTTCTGATGAGCAGTGAAATCAGAATACCTGTCAACAGGTGCAGAAGTCTGATGGAGAGTTACAGAAAACACCTGATTGCAGTGATTGGCTCAAAGGGTTGTTCATCTAAATATTAGTTTACGGGTTTGCTTGTTTTTTGTTTGCTTTTCTAAAAATATTTCCGTTGAACCACAATCCAAAAGTAATGTCATGATTTTCATTACATTTTTATTTATTATTACGTTCGGCAGTTTCCGCTTATTTCAGTGACAGCTGTTTTTTTCCTTCTTTAATGGGAGGGTATGAATAAATATGAGGACGACTGTAGCCATATTTGTTTGAGATATTTTTGCACAACAAATTATATTTATATTTCTACATTTCTGTGGACACTTACCAAAAAAAATCAAACAAAAAACGGCCAAGTCTTGTCAAATCAAGGGGTTAAAAATCCAGGTTAGAATTACGAATGGTTTCATTCACTGTTTTACTGTTCAATTACAACTTTTCTGTTTTGGTTAAAAGCTTTCTCAGGAATCTACATTCAGTAAAGAAAAAACACCAACTACTGCACACGGCCTCCTCAGGACCAAACAGCAGACAAACAGGGGTAGTAACCGGTGGACATAGCAGAACATTTAGCAGCGAAATAGTCAGTATGTGGCTTTAGAAAGCTGGTAGAAACCAAAACCAGAGCTAAAGAGGTTGACTAGTGGACTCACATTCACCAGGAGGCTGAAAACTTGACTCCAGATGGATGGTAACGCTGCTCTGGATGTGTGGTCAGTGTTGTGCTGCAGCTTGTTTCTGCTGCCACCAAGAGGCCTAAAAGTCAAATAATGCAAGATTAATTATTTGGTGGCAGAGATTTAGATTGAGCCGTGCTTTTAACTGTGAGTCAGCTGTTCAGGTAGGTCATGTTTTGGAATCTGTTTTGTAGGGATAACTTTTTATCGGTGCTGGTTTGACTCCCGTTAATATCACATAATGTCATAAGTACGTGGTTTCTGTGTGCGTTTCTTCACCGTCAAACATTTGTCAAAACACGAAGACTGCTCTAAACACACCTTGTCTGAATGTCATGCACGTGCACACATCCCCAGCATCTTCCTTTATGAGCAGATGGATGTGTTCAGTTCCACTGCCTCTAAACGTGAAGTGGTATCACCTGGTGGTGTGTAAACCTGCTGCTGCTGCTCTCTGTTAAAAGTTGGAAACAAGCCTGCAGTCTGTTCAGTCGCTCTGCTGGCTATGGTTGAATGACAGCTCCTTCTTTTTTTTTCCCAGATCCTGAAAATGTTTCGGAGCCTGCTTTTCATCGTCTTGTGTGGATTTGCAGCGGCCGATACCAGTTCAAAAATGGATCAGCACTGGGACTTATGGAAGCAGATGCACAGCAAAGTATATTCTCACCCGGTAAAAACCAAAATAGATGCTTTAAAAAGATAGGATATCTGTCACGTGAGGGCTGTGTCTTTAGTTTAGGCATGAAAACCTGTCTAAGAACTTCATCCACAGCAGTAAGTGGTTTTGGTTTCCCTAAATGCATAAAAACTGCAGATGTGCAATGCTTTTGGTTCCAAACAGAACCCAATCCCCTTTAATGTCTGCCTGTAAACACTGATTTAACTCACCTCTGTGTCACTCAGATGATGTGAGGACCTGTGAATATTTTTAACGTGTGATGTTCCAGATTGAGGAGATGGGTCGTCGACGGCTATGGGAAGAAAACTTGGATCTGATTAACGTCCATAACCTGGAAACCTCTTTGGGTTTGCACACCTACGAGCTGGCGATGAACCACCTGGGAGACATGGTGAGTAATTTCCTCCGACCACTCTGTTGATGCTTTGTGATGGCATTTCTGAAGGAAAAAACTCAAGTGGATGATTTTTACAGGTATTTTCTGCCTTGTTAGGGGGTTTATAAGTTAACTCTGGTGACTGATCTATTGTGTTTCTGATCTAGCGGTCACTTTTGACCTCTCTTTGCTTGCAGACCACTGAGGAGATCGCAGGAAACCTCGCGGGCACTATTGTTCCAACTGAACTGAAGAGGACTTCTTTAAACTTCATGTGGGTCAACAGCTCTCTGCCAGCTTCCCTGGACTGGAGGGATGACGGCCTGGTAACTGAGGTCAAAATGCAGGTGAGGTCATCAGCAGGCTGCACATTAACAGAACATCTGGACTGTTGGGGTACAAGCAGCCTGTCCGTCCTCTAGGGTCCTTGTGGTTCTTGCTGGGCCTTCAGTGCAGCCGGAGCTCTGGAGGGCCAGCTTAAGAAGTCTACAGGCACCTTGATGTCCCTCAGTTCTCAGAACCTTCTGGACTGCTCCACAAAATACGGCACCAAAGGGTGCAACGGAGGCTTCATGACGCAAGCTTTCCAGTACGTCATTGAAAACCAGGGCATTAATTCTGACGATTCCTACCCCTATAGTGGAAAGGTGAGTGCAGATGGCTGTTTGCCTGGAAAAACTGCAGGTACGCTGACCAAACCTGGACTCGTGTCAAAGCATCCATTAACTCCTTGCACATCCCTTCCTGTCAGTACGGTCACTGCCAGTACCGTCCACAGTACCGGGCGGCTAACTGCTCAGGGTTCGTGTTCTTACCAGACGGGGATGAGCATGCACTAAAGGTGGCCCTGGCTAACGTCGGCCCCGTCTCTGTTGCAGTTGATGTTTCCAGCCCCAAGTTTCTCTTCTACCGTCATGGTGAGCGGTCACACCTTTGAAAATAATCCAAGTTTAATGGAAAGTGAGCTGTTTCGACTAGTGTTTATGTTCTACAGGCGTTTACCAGGACGACGCATGCAGCCACAACGTGAGCCACGCCATGCTGGCTGTGGGCTACGGCACCGAGAGAGGAGAGGACTACTGGCTGGTCAAAAACAGGTCGGTCTTTCTGAGTTTTTAGATCATGTGAATAACTGTGTTTTCACATTTTCCATGATGCTTCTTTCTAGTTGGGGTGTGGCGTACGGAGATGACGGATACATCAAAATGGCTCGAAACAGACAGAGCCAGTGCGGCATCGCTGACTACGCTTGTTATCCCGTCGTATGATCAGACGGCTTCTATTTTTTTGCATCTTTTAAAATAAACTGCTTGTTCCTTAACTTGTGGTTTTACTTTTAATGGCTTTCCCCAAACACTCACTACAGCCTCACGATGTTGAAGCTGTATGATGGGGCGGAGGAAGGACATCCTCATTACTGGGGGGGAAACTGTAAAACAAAACAGATTTGTGACTTTAACTGTGCATATACAAAACAAAACATCATCAGTCTGACTACAACTTGAACTTTGTTTTGCCTAGCAAATTTGATCAATCGAAGAAATCTCACTTCAACGTGCACTTAGACGCACAGTTCAGTCCATTTATTGCCATTCATGTGCATCACTGATTCCATTAAGGCAGAAAGCTTGTAAAGTACAGCTTGTTTAAGTTGCCTTAATGTAGTATATGCATCAAAATAACTGTTAACAAGCTGCTGCAGAAGGAACACCTGGACACTATGTGCTGCAACACTGATCAAAAATATGTGCAGCAAAAAAAGTGAAAAATTTAATTTCTATTGTTCAGAGAAGACTCGAGAGAAAGATGAGAACAGGCTGTTGGAAGGCTGACTGCTGGCAGGTCGGTGAGGGACAGGGCACTTGAATGTCCACAACTCCATCATTTGTCATCTAAGAAATAGTTTCAGACACTTCTAGATGGAAGTATTTCACATAATCCTGTCCTCCAGCTTCACCAAGCCCTTTAAGCATCAACAACCTCATTAAGGCTCTGCTCTGCTGAGGAGATGTGCATGATTTAAAAAAAAAACAAAACAATGGATAGAATTTAGCAAAAACATTACATGCTGAGTTGTTATTTTTCTTCAGCATAGTTGATAAGAAGACAGAATAACTGAAAGTAATGGATAAATGTTCTCGTAGCTTGAGTTTCCAGTCCAGTTGTTATGATTAAACTACGAGAATAACCACGACCTGGATGACTGACAATCTTCAGACAGGTGCCAAATGGAAATGGCACAAATGCAAAAGAGATTAGAAACAAACAGCTGCAGCATCGTTGTGGTGGTGTAAATGATGGAGGACTTTTGATGATGGGCCCAAAGAAGAGTGAGGAGAAAAGAAAAAAAGGTTGCTAACTGTACTACACACAGATGGTTTGGTCCTCGTTCACACATGCACCGAGCTTTTCCTCCTTCATCCTCGAAAACAAATCATTTGCTCACATGAAAACACAACTGAAGCACTGCCGAGCTGCCAAACCAGCAGACAGCAGTAGAGCTCTAAAACCACGCCGGACAATCACAAGCCTGCAAAATGCTACGACACATTCCAGTAAGGTGTCGACAGTAGTGTATGGACGAGGCAGGAAGTGTGTACAGTAAAAAGTTCTGGTAGTAGGGTCATCATTACCAACATGTTAGCCACGTGTCCTTTGCTCCGTTGCTGTTCGATGACCTAAAATAGCGTTTGTGAATAGACAAAAGGCCAAAACACATAGAAATGGAGCAGTGTCATACAGAAGCACAGCGACATGTTCGCGCTTCCTGGCAGGAAAGTGAAGGAATGACTGAACAGGAGCCCTTAAAATAAAATAAATTACTTTTGTGCCACACTGCCTGGTCAATCAACTGTGTTTTTGTTTTCTTTCTTTCTCTTTTGGTCCCATTTGATTTGTGCTTATGAAGATCATGAAGTCATGAGAAAATAGCAACAAAACAAGCAAATGACTCGACTCAAGGTCCACTTACTGGTATTTTTAGGAGCTTTCATTCACCAAGACACCTGAGCAAACTCCAACTAGCTAGTAGGAGGACCTTGATTTAACTTTTTTGTCCAAAAATTAACTCTTAAACTGACTTTTTTTTTCATATTAAAGCTGAAATGTGGGACTATTACACATCAATCAGCATCTGTTATATTCAGGCTCTTTCCAAACTAATTCATATATTGTGATTAAAGCTGGTATCGCTTTCGTACCGTACCAGAGTTTTAAATCTGGTTTCTGCAGCGTAGCGATACACTTCAACCAGCAATGACTGTTCGGTGACCTAAAATAGCGTTTGTGAATAGACAAAAGGCCAAAACACACAGAAATGGCTTCTTTTTTTTTTTTTTAAATAACTGTGAACAAAGGCTGAGTTTAGGCTTCTAACACACCATCCTGATGACATCTTAAAAATGCATCATTAAAAATAGCTGAGGGCTGGACTTACCCACAGATTAAACAGCTGGAACAGTGAATGTGTGAAACTCTCCAGCAGCTGAAACTGAAAGAAGACATCCACAGAGCTGAGCTTCTCCTGAATCCCAACATGCACCAAGAAACAAGACAACTGCAGCTAAAGGGCAAAGCAGGATCAATGAAGAAGTTAAAGTAAGAAATATATATATATAAATACATGGAAAACAAACTGATCTCATGCTGGTAAATGCAATCCATGACATTGGTTTTCTTTCTTCAAGTTTTATTTCCATTATGATTTATCATTTTCTTCATAGGACTGGATCAACGGCACAAAAGTGCAAATCCCAGCATAATGAACAACTCTCACATAAAATAAATACAGCACCTTTTCAGCATCACTAAAATATTCTCAATATCCAGAAGTAATAAATACTGAACGTACCAAGATTTTCAGTCTTCATTTACAAAACACAAAGACAACACACGATAGATTTTTTGTGTCATATTGAACTTTTTTTTTTCTTTTTTGTTGGAATAGTTTTCCTTGATTCTTTTGTTCCACAAATTCCAAATATCTGCACGTACAAACATCTACAGTTTCTACACACGGTACATTGAATTTTGAATTGAACTCACATTTAGAGTAGAATCAGGTAATAAACAGGTCAGAGTCAAACTAAAGAAAAACACAAACGGAAACTCCTTCGGTCCCAACTACAGCGAAGGAATCGTGCAGTCCTTTGCAGATGAAGGAGTTGTTTTCTGGCATGGGTCGATCCGTCGTTTTGCTTTTGTTTTTTTTTTTCAGGATTCATTCTGGACTGATCTGTGTGCTCTTAAGACTTGAGTAGACAGAAAGCATGCCATAAAAAAGTCCTCCACACCTCCACACAGACCGCCATCGTTAAGGGAAGTCTTCAGGCTGGTGTTCGCTTCGTTCATTCGACCAACGTCCCGTTTCACTGCCACAGATAAAAACTCGAACCTTGCAACCCTTTTGGTAGTTTATACATGTATATATATATATAGAATGGAAATTCTACACATAGTCACATTAAATAGTAAACTTTTACATTTTGGACAGGAGCTTCAATTTGACAGAGGGCGCTCTTTTGGTGACTCGATAAAACCGCGGTCCCTTCGAGTTCTTGTTCCCTCGGACTCGGGGAAAGCCTCCACTTTATTGCTCAAACTTCCCCCTTCCACACGGACCCACGTAAACATGTCAAACTGTACTTTTTGTACATGGTTTATGCACATTTTTGTCTCCCTTCGCTTATTAAGCTGTATTGCCCGTTTCCGGCCGTGGCCATCTTGCACTTCTGCGAGAAGACGAGCTGCAATGATTACAAGCATCCTCCTCAGAAGGTCAGGCAGATATATATATATATTTATATATATTTATATATATAAAAAAGTTACCTGGGTCCAAGGTAAACAAGGAGCACAGTCACCACTAACTTACTTTCAGAACACATACTCAAGTTTCACCAATTTTTTAAACCCACTTTGATTAAGAACAATCACTGCAAGCAACAAATCTATGTCATCATACAACAATGAAAACACTAGTTCTTGCTTTGGACAAAAACAGCTGGCATACAGGACGTCCAAGAAGTCAGACAATACGATACAAACATGCGTCACGATCGGTTGAATACAGAAGGTTCGGGGGTGGGGGGAGTGTAATTATTTCTGTGAGTTTAAAGATGTGATCCTTTTTCTAAGCGGAGGAGCAGACCGTACGTTATCTCTGAGAATGGCTGCCTCTGGTGAAATCTGTTTGACTTAAACTGTATCAGCAAAAGAGCACCCAAGTCTGTTATGAAGAACGACACAATAAATTCTACTCTGCATATATTGCGTAAGGTTTTTTTTTTGTTTGTTTGTTTGTTTTTTTTTGTCTTAACCTCTTTTTGTAGTGTAAATATAATCCGTGGTCCCCAACTGAGCTGTGTTCATCGCAGGGATGAAAACGTCGCAACAGAAAAGAGTAGAAAAATATGTGACAGACGATTTAGTCAGCTTATACGCATGCACGCATACACACACACACACACACGCACGCACACGCACACGAATAACTCATCCGAACAATTTTGAACATGAACGGGACAAATCTGTTCATTAAATCTGCACACGACAAGCAAAGAGGAGCTCTGAGGGTTGTACTACGAAGCAAGTTTGACAAAGTCGGGCTTTCTTTTGTTTAGCTGGCTCAACAAAACCTAAACCCAACCACAGGTGTTATAACAGTCGTTCTCAACTTGGGTTTTCTTCACCCGACTCTATGCGTGACACCAGGAAAGGTGTCGTTTAACATTAATATGAAAATGCAGTGCAGGATAAACCGCTGTAGATGCAAGAGAGGAACGCTGGGAGAAAAGTGCATTTAGTTCTGACACTGTCCCATAACGAAGGAAATCCCTTTAGTTGTTTGTTATTTGCTGAATATCCTCCTCTACGTAGCTACAAACAGACGAACAAACTTCTAATCTTGGTTCTGTTAGCTGCAGTGCCAGCAGTGTAAAACAGACTTGGCAGCAAATCAGGAATAAGTATGAATTCATCTTTATGCATTTTCTGCATGTAGGTTCCCACGGTAACACAAGGCATGCGGTTTCCCTGGTTGAGTGGGACAACTAACCTCAACATGTTTGTAGACGTATTGTATTTTTACTGAGGATCTGAACTGGTGAAAAGGAAGACGTACTGAAGCCTCCAGAGCAGGCTGGCTGTGTAGCATCAGTTACCATGGAGACCTAGCAGGTTAAAAAACAGCCACCTTCTTGACCTTTAAAGCTCCGATTTTACTCACTAACCCACTGACCTCGCTTCATAGCACAGCCCTCTGATCCTCAGAATCCAGATTTGACGACATTTGTGGAAATATTCTCATCTGCGTTCTTGTCTGGTGTTTAATGAGGAGATCGATGCCGCGCTCTCATGCCTGTAAATGCTAAATATGAGGCTACTGTCAACAGGTGGCTAGCTTAGCTTAGCATCAAGTGGGCAAGAGCAAAGCTTTTTTTTTTTTTGCCCGCCTTCATGCTAAGCTAAGCTGGTTATTTATTTACTCTGGTAGGGGGGCTGATAACAACGTTAACACACACACACACATTCACACGCGATCCAGAGGACGTTTTTAGGTCAAACATCATGCTCTCATGTACTCGCTCACTGATTGTCAGCACACATATTGATGTACACCTTTGGAGAAATGATACTGAAGTACAGTGATATGTATAAACGATGGTACTGTACGTGATCAGCATTCCCTTTAGCGAGTGAGTCTGTTCAATTTAGATCAACAGCATCGAGTAGGTTCCCTTAGAGACCCCAGAGCAGTGTCATACAGAAGCACAGCGACATGTTCGCGCTTTCTGGCAGGAAAGTGAAGGAATGACTGAACAGGAGCCCTTAAAATAAAATAAATTACTTTTGTGCCGCACTGCCTGGTCAATCAATTGTGTTTTTATTTTCTTTCTCTTTTGGTCCCATTTGATTTGTGCTTATGAATATCATGAAGTCATGAGAAAATAGCAACAAAACAAGCAAATGGCTCGACTCAAGGTCCACTTACTGGTATTTTTAGGAGCTTTCATTCACCAAGACACCTGAGCAAACTCCAACTAGCTAGTAGGAGGACCTTGATTTAACGTTTTTTCCAAAAATTAACTCTTAAACTGACTTTTTTTCATATTAAAGCTGCAGTGTCGGACCAATACACATCAATCAGCATCTGTTATATTCAGGCTCTTTCCAAACGAATTCATATATGGTGATTGAAGCTAGAATCGCTTTCGTAGTGTCCCAGAGTTTTAAATCTGATTTCTGCAGCGTGGCGACACACTTTAACCAGCAATGATTGGTTTGCCAGAACTGACAATGGCTACAGCAACTAGGATTATGGAAAAGAAACCCAGGAAGCATCCAGATAAAAAAATAAATCATAAGCAGATGTCAACAGTGTTTGTGTAATTACACTCATTGCCAGAAGGGGGAGACAGAAGCTCTGCACTGCAGGTTTAAGGCCGATTAACGCAGATATGAGATGGAGCTGGACCGTCCTGTAGATATAATGTGAATAACACGTGCACACTTTTACAGCACCTGAGCTACTGCATTGAAACTATCTTAAAAATATGTGCCTCCGCTGATTTATACATTCTGCTGTTGGATAAACGATTGAAAAATATGGTCCACGTGGCTGCACTCATTTGCCCGAAATGATGGGAGTTTAAAGGAATAGATCAGACTCTCTCTCTCTCTCTTTCGCACACATGCAATCAAAACACACACACACACACGACTAATTTAGGCAAATATTACACAATAGTATCTGCTCTCACATCTTGACCAAAATCCGTCCCGCAGTCGTTCCTGCGTTGCACTCATCATCACACTGGGAGGGAGAACATTAGTAGAACACTGAGAAACTGGATCAAACTGTTCCCATTTACAACAGAGAATCCTGTGAAATGCATCTTGACCTTTATTTTTTTGAGGCTATACGTAGAAGAAGAAGAGACCGGAGCTATTCAGGGACAAAATGAAACTCTTTGTTTCTGAATAAATCCAGCCTCGGTGGAATGTTTGAATAGTATTTGGTAGAGAGTAACTCTGGTCTGGCTTCAGTCGTAGGCAGTGGTCACGGGGTCGGGGGCGTCTTTTAAAGGAAATAGATTCGACAAAACACGTCTACAGGCGTCAGTTTGAATGGAAACTGAGCTGCACCATAACTGTAAACCAGCCACTGAGGTTGAGGACAGACGATAAAGAAAAAAACACTGCAATCAGATCTGGAAATTGACCACAAACATGGACTAAACTATCCCCCAGAAATGGCTTTTTTCTTTTCTTTCAGTCTCATCTCTTGGTTTGACCTTTCTGTTTCACTGTGGGCCTTTTATCCTAACTGCACATTTCCATTTCAACCCTGTAACTGCAAACTCTTCTGTAAAAGATTTCTGTTTGTTTTTTTTATACAACAGCTGACGGGGCAGCTGAAATAAAGATGTATCGGGTGTTCTCACGATACGAGTATGTTTTTCTACATCTGTGTGCTCTTAGACTTTGAATGATGCAAATCCACATTTCAAAGGATTCTGGGCTTACAATGGGGATGGCAGTCGGCTCTGTTGGTGTGTGACGGGCAGCGCTGAAGCTCTCAGGGATGTTCGGGCTCGAGTTGTCAAACGCAGGCTTCCGGCTGTACTCTGCTGCCCACTGCTGGTCATCTGCTCTACTGCAACACTTGGCCTCTCGTTTCAGGCAGCTTTGTCGCGAGGAAGCTGCCGGCGGCGAGGGCGCCGGCGGCGAACAGGATGGGCACGGCCTTGGTGATGCCCACAAACGACTGGAAGATGCTGATGCCCAACACGGCCGCCAGCTTACAGAGAGCGTTCAAGAAGCCGAACGCTGTGGTCCTGAGGACAAGAGAAGAGACAAACACGATCTCAGCTTTAACTGTGCTGATGGTCAGTTTGTCCATGATTGTCTAAAAAAGCTGAGTTTTCTATTACGACACCTTCTTTGTTGTAATTTGTAGGATGTATGAGTAAAAATAGGAGAGAAAACAAATGTCAAATTCATATTTTTTGTACTATTAATTATCCAGGCAGTACTAGTAGTTACTGTTGTGTCTTGTACGTGCACTAAACACGTGGATTTGTGGACAGCAAACATCAAAAATTGGCAGAAAATCCTCTCATATAATCTACAAATAAATAAATTCTGTCCAAAAAAAAAAAAGAGCTTTCAGGACTAACACACATTTCAATAACAATCCAACCGGTTACTTTGCACTTTTTCACCTTGTACATATACACATGTATATAATCTTATTATTTTCTAAATTTACTTTATTCCCTTTTGCACATGTTTGACAATTTGATGTATCTATTTCTGCTATTTCTCTCTCTCTCTCTCTCTCTCTCTCTCGCTCTCTCTCTCTATATATACATATATATAGATGTACATTATATATATATAGTTTGTTTCTTGTGTATTTTATTCCTTATTTCTATTCATCCATGCATCCATCCATCATCTTTACACCGCTTAATTGTCACTAGGGTCACGTGGGGCTGGAGTCTATCCCAGCTAACTTGGGGCGAAGGCAGGGGACACCTGGACAGGTAACCAGTCTAAGCTTAAAATTGTAACATTTCATTAAAAGCACTTAATTCCACAACAAACTTTTTGTTTTAACCAGATTCTGTTAAAAAAAAAAAAAAAAGTAAATAAAAATCTGCATTCCTCAAACCTTCAGTGGATCAGTTGTGTCCAAAAGTCACATGACAAAACATACAGAGATTCCTCAGCTGACCTGCAGGCTGTGTTTACACAGAGCAGATAAGAGACGAGCAAAAATGAGGAAGCAAAACCTGCAGTACGTAGATCACTTTTATTCCGTGTTGGTAACAACTTGGAAAGAGGTTATGCATGTTGATTCCATTTTGTTTTTAGTTTTTGTAAAATGAAACATCAACTGAAAATCAATGAAATGTAAAGAAATCCTTTTTTTTAATGATTTTTTGGGGGCTGTAAGGTGGCTTAGTGGTTAGCACCGTTACCTCGCAGCAAGCAGATCACCGGTTTTTGTCCCGGTGAGGATACCCGGGATCTTTCTGGGTGGAGTTTGCATGTTCTCTCTGAGGCTAATTGGTGATTCTAAATTGTCTGTAGGTGTGAATGTGAGTGTGCTTGGTTGTCTGTCTCTGGTGACCTTCACCCTGAGTCAGCTGGGATAGACTCCAGCCCCCCATGACCCTAGTGAGGATTAAGTGGTGTATAAATAATGGATGGATGTTTTTTTTTTGGCATTCTAAGTGTTTTTCCTCCTCTAGCTTTGTTTGTGCTCTTTCCATAGAGGTGCAGAAAATGTGAGCAACAAATGCCCCAAAACTGCCTGGAGTCCAGAAGGTGAAATAAGACACACATAACAAAGTCAATAAATAAAATTAAACAATTAAACAATAGGAGAACCTAATAAAATCAACCACTGATGCCTCACTTGACCTGAATCTGAGGGCGGACAACGTGGAGCTGCAGCTTCACAAAACAAAAAGTCCTCTGTGCCCACGGCGGCGAAAACAGCTGCTCTCGTGTTACCTTTTATCTGACGGGTAGAGCTCCACTGTTATCACATCCAGGGCGTTCCACGAGGCGATGCTGATGCCTCCGAACAGACACAAGAGGGCGATCATCCCCGACTCGCTGTTGCCGAACATCAGGAAGAAGCAGCTGACACATGATATGACGCTGGACCCGGCTGCGTGCAGAGAAGACACCGAGTTAAAACAGCCTCTGGTGGTAGCAAAGGGATCGTCTGCACTGATCCCGTTTACCTACCCAGCATCCTCAAACGCCCGATCTTGTCCATTAATAGAGCCGACACGATGTTGCCAGGCAACACTGCCAGCGTGCCAAGAAAGTTGACAAAGTAAATCATGTAGGCATTGTTGAAGTCGTCGCTGAAGTCCAGCATGCAGCCCTCCTTGTTGTGGATGAAGGTGCTGTTGACCAGTTTGCAGTTGACAAACCTGTATTTGAACAAATCTGAGGCGAGAAAAGAGAAAAGAGGAGAGGAAAAGGCGTCACTGGTTTGTTTAATTGAATCTAAAACTCAGAGATTTGTGAAATCTTGAGGAGACACTTGTCAGAGCTGGAAAACACCTCCGCTGCATGATTCCTAGGATTTTATCTGAAGCTAATCTCACATTATTTATCACAAACAGCCTTAAGGCTTTCAGCAGGATTAGATCATTGAGAAAATAACCTTCATCTTTACGTTAATGGTTCGTTTTCCGTCAAACAGGGGAAGAAAGGATTAAATCATCCCTCAGCAAAGGAAGCCAGAGCATTACAGCAGCCACCACATAGAAAAATCCTCTGCCAGCGTCTGTTTTTAATCAAGATTCCTTCAAGGCAAACATAAAAACAGCATCCAGTCGAGCTGAGAACTTCTTAAAATGTACCGTAAATCAGGAAAGGTCAGGAAAGGTCAGACTGTCTTATTCTATGTTTATTCTTTGTACGAACCTGCAGCCTCACAAACGACATCGTTAGATTTTCTGATGACACCACTCCTTTCACTCCAGTTTTATTAAAGGGAGCCAGGCATGAAAGTGCTGAATGATCATAAAGTTTTAGATGCACCGATGACACAAACATGAAGGAATGTATCGCTGGCTCCGGGGACGAGGAGATTGAGGCTCGAGCCGCTGCAGAAAACTGGAATAAATCTTTCAGAGCGCGGGGCGGACGGCTGCAGTTTGTCAGCAGAGACACTGATTCTTTTTTAGTTCCTCTGCTGAATTTCCCAGGGCTGAATGTGACACATTGATTTAAAGCACGAGCTCGGATCAAAACCACACGCAGCACAGTTACTGCAGCGGCGTTCAGAGTTTCAATCGATTCCGCCTCGACGTAGCTCGCTGCTGATTCGACGCATTCTGACATCTGTTTTCGTCCTAATCGCCGTCCATTGTTTCACGTCGCTCTGCTCTCAATCAGTCTGAGCTGGATTTGTTTACGTTGCCGAGGTAACGGCTCTGCTGCAGCGTAACCCAGGGTTACCAGCAACAGAGTTGTTTCTATGGTTGCAGACCTGCTGAACACTGCGTGTTATTTTTTCCTCCGTTTGCACTTTAGGGGGAAATGAATTCACTGGAAATTCATAAGTAATCTCAAATGATTTATGTCTGTGCTGAGCTGCTGAAACAGGCGACTAAATGGTTCGTAAACAGCAACAAAAAATGTCTGTTTGGTCAACAGTTTATCAAGCAAACTCAAATTGGAGGGTTTTCTCGGTTTAATGCGACATTAATTGAATATCTTTGGGATGATTCCAGCAAACTGTGGCTCATGTGAGGCAGATGTCACATAATTAAACCAACGCTGGCATTTTCAAGGCTGAATGATCAACAAGGCGACTTCCCAAAGAAATTCAGGTTTTCTTGAGGCAGTTACTTCATAAGTATTCCTGTGAATCTCAGCTCCTGTCACGTTTCTACTCTCCGTGGGCGCTTTTTTATTTTTTACTGCGACATCAAGTTCTGCATCTCTATGGATATATATTCAATTATTTATTGTAAAATTTGAAACAAAACTGGAATCAACATGTACATGTATAACATGTATAAAAACATATATAACTTTACATAGTACAGCTTATTTACTACTTCCAGTTTTGGTATTTATTTCCATACTTGTGTGAGCTCTGCCTGCAGTTCAGCCCAGTTTAGCCAAAGTCTGGGGTGTTTTTTTGTCATGTGACTGTTGGTCACAGCTGAATCAATAATGGCTTTTCAGTTGCACTGAGGAGTACAGAATTGTTTTGTCTTTTACAGCAAGTACTGGCTCATACTTTAACCAATCCAGCCAGACTCACCGACACGTTTTATCCAAGTGCAATACGGGTACTGAGCGCACACTAGTCTCCATAGTCTGAATTATTTATATATATATATTTAATATTTATATTATACTATTTTAAATTATCCATCCATCCATCATCTATACACCACTTAATCCTCACCAGGGTCATGGGGGGACCTGGAGTCTATCCCAGCTGACTCAGGGTGAAGGCAGGTTCACCTGGACAGGTCACCAGTCTATCACAGGGCTACACTTAGAGACAGACAACCAAGCACACTCACATTCACACCTACGGACAATTTAGAATCACCAATGAACCTCAACATGTTTTTGGACCTTGTGGGAGGAAGCCGGAGAACCCGGAGAGAACCCACACTGCACGGGGAGAACATGCAAACTCCACGCAGAAAGATCCCGGGTGTCCTCACCGGGACGCAAACCGGCAACCTTCTTGCTGTAAAGCAACGGTGCTAACCACCGAGCCACCTTACAGCCCGCATGAAAATCAGATTAACAATATTCCCAAAACATGAAAACACATAACAAGGAAAAAAGAAACTAGTCATAAAGAAATGACGCGAACCAGCGACCTTCTAGTTGCGAGGCAACGATGCAAACCAACTGCGCCACCTTGCGGCCCTATTATACTATATTATATTATAATTATTTTAAAATCTTATTATGTATAATTATTCATTTACTTATATTATTTATATTTCTCATATCTCCACAGTATTCTTACCTCAACAGTATATTTATTCTTCAGTTTGGCTGTTACCATGCTCATTCCTAACTGTATAAACTTCCTACTGGCTCCTTCAGTAAATATATTTATACATTTTTATTTGTGTTTTTTATACTTATTTTTGCACCACTGGAGTTGTCTTTTAATTTCGTTTGTGTATGATGACAATAAAAGCGTTCTATTCTATTCTATTCTAGTGCAAATGGTTTATTTCTGGCAAATTTCTAAATGAGGCACGTAGAATAAAGAGGTTTTGATGAATGTCAAGCTGAGGTGTGGTGGTGACAACAGGTCACAGATGAGTAGTTCAAGGACTGATGGAAGCGAGAAAATCAAACTATTCACTCTGTTTTTACAGTTTTTGTCAAATGCTGTAGTTTTATTATGTGTGTGTGTTTTTTTTAGAGCTAGCATACCTTGTAAAACCACCAGCGGGTTTAAGTTTGAGAGGGTTCATTTCAAATGTATAAAGTTAAACAGTACCCTCAGACAAAATCTAAAAACTAGAGGCTGCATTTTATTCAGTCTTGAGGTCGTTTGTTATCCAGGAGCTCTGTGTCAAAATCTTGTTCTTCTACCTCCAGTATTTCAGTCGATGTTTTATTCATACGCTACATATTCATGAAGAGACCAAAAACTAGCAAACCCTGGAGCGGGCAGCAGGTTCATCAGGTCAATTAAAACTCCTCTTCTTATTGCACGACACTGAGCGAACACAGCAAATGACAGACACATATTTACCTGTGTTGTAAAACAAACTGGCGATGAAGGTGCAGTTCCTGAAGGTGGTGTGTGTGGAGGTGATGTCCTCGAAGTAGCACTCCTCGAACCGGGAGTCCTCAAACACCATGGACTTCATCTTCAGGTTGAGGAACCTGTGAGTCGGATACGTTTTCAGTTTTTAGCGCTGCGTTGCAATTTTCTGCATTGAATCTAACGACACACAAACAGCTCACTTGTCGTTGAAGTAGTGTCCTTGGCGATGCACTTGGTTCTCCAGGGTGAAGTTAAAGGTGACGTGCTCCACTCGTTCCCCAGTGAAGGTCCTTGTGCGGGACTCGTACTCCTGCTTCTGGATGTACTTGATCATGTCCGGGAACCACACCGTCAGGCCGTAGTAGCTGCAGAGTGGTCGAGACAGATGACATAAACCCTGAAAGTAAGTGATGAGACAGCGACAGCGGAGGGCTTCTGAGTCTTTAGCTTACCTGAAGGACATCGTAAACCAAACAGCCATGAGCATGAAGGTCGTCCGTTTGTATTCTGGGCTGAAGCAGGCGAGAATGTTGTTCCGTATCTGCAGCAAAGAAAAAAAAACACAACCTTTGATGAAGAGACAGACTTTAAATTTGCCTGATTGTGTCTAATTTGATGATTCGTTGTGCGTCTGGTAGAGCTGGAATAAACTTTTATGAGTTAAAAACCTGAGCGCGGCATGACAGCAGCAAGGATTTCTCTTCTCTGCACGAACCCTTCACAGCTTCCACGTATCGTTAGCGCTTCAGCTCTCATTGTCAAGACCTTTTATTTCAGTAGGCATTAAGCAGGTGGTAAACAAGCAGCAGATTCAGAAGAAGATGGACGGTGTGGGCGTGCAGCAGAACGTGGGCCGAATGCAAATTAAAATCTGGGAAAGTTTTCCGCCCAGAGCAGTGGCGCTGCAACAATTTGCAGCCCAACAAAAACACTAGTTTAAACTACACGACGGTTCAATATAACCACATAATCACTCTCCTGGATTCAGTCACAGATCTTTAAAGAAAAGAGAAAGGTGCTACTTTCACAATATTTGCCAGCAAAGTGAAAGTCAGTGGGACTGGATTCAAACTGAGGAAAGAAAAAATGGACAAGGTCAAAGAAATGAAGTGTAATTCACTGTCAGGAAGACAAAATAATTAATAAAGGGAAGGATACGTAATATTATATGTACACTTGAACTCACTGCCAGCTATGCTTACATCCCCGTTATTAGTTCCTCACCACCGCCAGCTCCACCGAGGCCCGAGCCGTAGAACACTTTAGTATCATGACTGTAAAACTGCAGGTTTTAGGAAACAAAAACCTCAGGGGCCTTTTTACTTCACGCTTTTAAAACTTGACTGCTTTAACTGCTACGGCTTTAATTTATTTATTTGTTTATTTGGGGTCTGCAGGGTGGCTCAGTGGTTAGCACCGTTGCCTCGCAGCGAGAAGATCGCCGGTTTGCGTCCTGGTGAGGACACCCAGGATCTTTCTACGTGGAGTCTCCATGTTCTCCCCATGCAGCGTGGGTTTTCTCCGGGTTCTCCGGCTTCCTCCCACAGTCCAAAAACATGTTGGTGATTCTAAATTGTCTGTAGGTGTGAATCTATAGACTGGTGACCTGTCCAGGTGTCCCCTGCCTTCACCCTAAGTCAGCTGGGATAGACTCCAGCCCCCAACCCGTGACCCTCGTGAGGACTAAGCGGTGTATAGATAATGGATGGATGTTTATTTGGACGGGACAGTGTGTATTAATGAACGTACAACATCAGGTTGCAGTAAATACACCGGATTTAGCACAAGGCTAATTTCCATCTGGTGTCCCACACACACAAAAGAAAAACACACGGGGATAGAAACGGAAAAAAGAGCAGAGAAAATAATCATAAAATAAATAAAAGCAACAATAGTAAAACCCAGACAGTAGGATTGAGTCAGACACTAAAGTGCTGTTGTGTCTGTAAAGTGCTCTCTTGGCATAGCCTGTCGGAAAGTGCATGTAATTAAAGTGCCTGATTTTCTCAATGTTCACACACTTGATTGTTGATCAGCCATGTCTCCCATCGTCTTTTAAAACTGACAAAGGTGGAGCTTTCTCTGATAGCTACAGGTAAATTATTCCAGTTTGTGCAACCTTTAATAGACAAGGCATTCTGTGCAAAGGAGGACTTTCTAAGTTGTACATCTGTGAAGATTCTCAGTCGTCCAGGTCGTGGTTATTCTTGTAGATTAATCAACCGGACTTGTTGAGTTCCGTCTCATCCAAGAGGCTTCATCAGCTCTGACTGACTAGCTGGGAGTTCCAGATACTTATATCCTTAAGGAGCCATTAACACCTGAGTTTCAATTGGGGGTTTGTTGCGCCTCCCCCTCGTTATATGAGTCATTAGTGCTCCCCCTGCCACAATGGGGTTCATTAGGGTCTTTTGTGGCTAGGTGTGGATGCGCTTCCATCTTCCTGACCTTGTACTAGTAATACCTTTTGTTCAAATGGGCCTGCGTGAACCCACACAGTGTAACTCTCTCAGGTTAAATAAATGTAAAATATTTTTCCGCTCTAAGAGTTTTTCCGTCACCTGTTGGGAGAGGCTCATAATCTTCAGTCTGTAGCGCTGCCAGACCGGCGTGTCGGTGCCGGTGTCCACCAGCTCATCCATCTGCTTCACCGTCTTGATTGTGGTGACCTTGGATCAAAGAGACACAAGTCATCCAGAGGCAACAACTGCAGCTGAAAACTTCTGACTACTAAGCTCCAGAAAAGTGTCCCTTCTTCATGTTGCTTTGAGTTCAGAGAGAAATAACACAATCGGACGTAAAGGACGAAGCAAACACACACAGAGAGAGAAAACGTTTAACCATCCGAACCCTAAAACCCTTCAGTGGGTTTGATGAGCATAAAACCTCCTAAAAATGGCCACAACTACAATATTTTCCAGAACCAGAAACTGTAAAGACATAAAGGATTGGTGGATTTTTTTTAATTTCCAGGTGCCGTTCCTTCACATGTCATTTAAAAATCCACCAAAAATGAATCATTGGTGGTAATCAGCTTTTGTAAAAAAATAAATGAATAAATAAAAAAAAGTAAAAAAATAAAAAAAATTCTGCAACACTCAGTGCAACCGAAAAGCCATGAGTGACTCAGCTGCGACAAACAGTTAAAATGATAAAAATGTGGGAACTTTTGGCTGAACTGCAGGCTGTGTTTACTTAACTGTGGAAAGAAATTAAAAATGTAAGTATGACTACGTAGAGCTTCCATTTTCCCCCAAGTATTAAAACACCTGTAGGCACGTGGAAAAAGTTGTGCGTTTTCCTTTTAATTTCTGAAATACAGAATCAAAGAAATTGTTTTTTTTTTTTTAGGACTTATGTCATAATAATTACGTCATACTGCACAGCAGACATTGTTGATTTCCTTCTATTTCTAGCCGTGGTTGTGCTGTTTCCACGGAGGTGCAGGATTTAATATCGCAGTAAAAAAAAAAAATGAGCCGACAGTTTGTAAAAATGTGACAGGAGCACAAAAAATGCCTGGAAATTTTACAGGGGTTAAATAATTAAAGGGCATTCTTCCCAAACATTAGAGAGCATCACCACTACTGATGGCATGTTTAACATTTAGAGTCGGTCGACAGCCTGATGAAGATCTCTGTGACAACATGAAGCTGCTTCAGTGTGTTGATCCTTTTCCTGGTCTTATGACTTGCTAGTCCAAAACACAGCTTTTGGAAAATTGACACAGGTTGTACCTTTAACTGCAGCTTCTTCTTTTTTTGAATGTTTATTTGTGGGCGGTTTGACGAGATTTCAATGTTTTTTATGCCGACACTGTAAAATAAAAGGCAGAAAATATGGAAGCAAATGTTGCTTGAATCCTGTCTATATAAAAAAAAAAGCAAAACGGAAACTATTTCTAAGCACCTGAAGCCAAAGTGCCATCTGTCTCTTTTTCATCGAATATAAAAAGCAGCTCATTTCTTTTTTATGTACCTGCTTAAATACAATTTATGTCAGAAAAGCCATCGACTGTGATCCAAGGTGACGAACACTGTGCAGCTTACACCAGATTTCTAGGTGGCTTTAATTCTGTATCGCTACTCATCTCCCTCTCTGCTGTCAGTGAGAGATCCGGTTGAGCAGATACTGACCGTGAACACCCTCTCTGGGTATCCTTTGGCTCGCATGTTTGTGTCGTGAACCTGCTTCAGGATCATCCAGCCTTCGTCATGTTTGCCATTCTGTTTGGGGAAAAAAAAAAAAAACGAAAAGGTCACACTAATTTATATATTTACTCAAGACAATTCACATTTGACTTATGTTAGCATGATGTTAGCAGTGACTCAGACGTGAGTGGAACCAGCCAGTACTGTCGGACGGAGAATTACTGTCAACAAGCACATCTGCTTACCTCCAAGTAGAAGCGTGGGCTCTCTGGCATGCCGCTGAGGGCAGCGATGGCTGCAACAGAAGGAAATGCGCACACCAACACAAACACACGCCAGCTATGGAACTGATACGCCGAGCCCATCTGGAAACTCCATCCTAAGAGGAAAAAAACAATCCAACGCAAAGAAATGAGCTCACACATATCTGAAGACTTACAACCCACAACCTTCACTGCGCTCTCCAAACATGAGTCGATATTAGAAAAGGTCGAACACGCGACCTCATTAAATGTATTAATGTCACGAGCCACTCTAGGACCCGTGTTTCTATTTCTTTCTCCCTCGAGGGAAGTCGGAGGTCAGAGGTCGGCCTCAGTGTGGCGTCTCTGCGTAGATGCTTTCTAGAAAACATGCTTGAACCTGCATTTTTCCAGCAGCCGGCTCGTCCTGCTGCCAAAACCAAAGTGTGTGTTCAGACACTGTTTGATGCTGAAATATCAGCATTTTATGGACCTGCTTGGCATTCTGGGAAATATGCTTGACAGGCGTTTCTGGTAGAGAGTTAGATAAGAAGACTGATTCCAATTTCATTTATGTGCTGCTAATATGTAGCTTAAACCAGCAGCAGGTTAGCTTAGCTTAGCATAAAGACTGTCTGATGGTGAGAAAATCCTCCAACAAGCATCTGCCTTCAAAGCTCAGTAATTAACAACTCATTTGTTCAGTGCTGTGTCATGAGGCTGAGCAGAAACATATAAAACTGAGATATGAAGTAATTTTTGCACTTTACCTTTATTACTTTTGGCTAATTCGTTTGATGTTTTTGTGCTAAGCTAAGTCGCTACAGCCTCTATTTAATCGGCGTATATGATTTGCTTATATAACTCTGGAAAAAGCAAACAGCCTTAAAATATTGTCTTAAAAGTCAGTAAAAAATGAGGAATTTCATGAACAGAATAACCGTACTCACCGTAATGTGGGATTATAGCCCAGGCCATAGCGGATGCGTATATTCCGCCGATCATCCAGAACATGCAGAGCCAGCTGAGGTGTTCACCGCGCTTCTCTTGGGCCAGAAACTCAGAGTAGTAGGAGAAGACGATGGGAATTGAGCCACCGATTCTGCAAAATTCAGAAACCAGCGGAGCTCAGAGGTGAAACATTTCTGTTGTCAACATTACTGACACTGTTTTGTACTTAAATGCAACATTCGGCAACGCAAAATGCTGTATACACTTTATGTATATACTGTATATGTATGTTATGTACACACTATAGCATAGCAGGAGGAAAGGAGTTTACTGTATGTGAAACTATAGCAACTGTTCGCAAGTGGAGGCCCCAGAGTTTGACTCTCCGACCTTTAATGCGGCATTCTGGCTGTTTTGTTTGCTCACCGAAGCTTTGACATAACTACATTATTGTATCTCTTTGTGCTCACCAAGGTGCAAAACAAATTTAGTGGGAAGGCGATTTCTTTTTCATTCAAATAGGAACGATATCAGCCCCTCAATTTGCCAGTTCACTAAACCAAACAACCTGCGTTCAAACATTTTTGCTGGAAGAGCTTCAGAAACTAAATGGATGATAATCATTTCCTATGCAGTGGGACTAAAGATTACAACTTTTAGAAGGGAAAATAATTGTAGTTTCTCATTTTCACACCACAGCGTCTTGCGAGGTTTGTGTGTCGGCTACAAACAAGCTTTTAAAATGCAAACCAAGTGGACTGTACTGTTAGAAAACTAGTCTTTCTTAAAAAAAAATGCTCCTTTTCGTCAGGTGACATTTGCATAATCACATTAAATTTGCTGTTTAATTAAATTAAAAAGATCTTTGAGGCTAACTTTTTGTGTAGCCTTTGACAGATTGCATTGTGAAACAGGAGTCCAAATATAACCAGTGGTACAGAGTCGGCGGTGCAAATTGAAAACAAAAACAATCTTTTTTTTGCAATTACCCAACACCTGAGAGGAGACGGCAGAACAGGAAGGTGCTGTAACCCTGGACGAAGGACGAAAAGAAGGAGAAGATACTGTTGATGGAGAGAGAGATGAGAAGAGACTGCCGACGTCCTATCCGGTCAGCCAGAGCCCCCCAGAGGAAAGCCCCGACCATCATCCCAAAGTACACAATCAGACCTGCCGAGAGAGCAAACGGACCCATTACAAATGTGTCATCCTTTTGTTCGTTTGATTTATTTCTGTTTTACCGCACAACTCCGTGTGTGCTGTGACAGATGTGAGTTCATCTCGTCTCCCTTATTTTCTGCCGAGACACTACAGGCTCATTCTGCTGACAGCTGCCGACTCAAAACAGGTAGATGGTTTTGACGGCACATACAGAGATACAGTGACTCCTCTTTTTTTTCCCTCACGTCTCAGTAAAACTATAATTTAGCTCATCTCTCGGTTCACTTTGACCTCAAACCCGTCCAGAAAGTGTAAAAAAATGATTGTTTCTAATCTTTTTAAGCTGTTATTTATACAGCACGTGTAAAACAATTGAGGTTCTCGTGGGAGACAAAGGCTTAACAGCACAGATTTACACAAGTGTGAATAGTTAACATCTTTTAAGGGCACATATTTACAGGTGAACATCAGCTCGCTAAAACTCACTGTTTGCATCCCTCCATGCATCTTCTACCATCCATCCATCCATCCATCCATCCATTATCTATACACCGCTTAATCCTCACTAGGGTCATGGGGGGCTGGAGTCTATCCCAGCTGACTCAGGGTGAAGGCAGGTTCACCTGGACAGGTCACCAGTCTATCACAGGGCTACACTTAGAGACAGACAACCAAGCACACTAACATTCACACCTATGGACAATTTAGAATCACCAATTAACCTCAACAGGTTTCTGGACCTTGTGGGAAGAAGCTGGAAAACCCGGAGAGAACCCACACTGCACGGGGAGAACATGGAGACTCCCATTTTCTACCACATAAAACATTTTTTTATTAAAAGTTCCTCATGCGCTGGTGCACTGTTGCCGTCATTCTCGATGCATCACGACCCTGCGGATGACTCCAGTAGCTTGAAACTATTACCAGGAAGGTGTACTACTGTGCCACTCATGTGAATGTTTGTCCATGAACAAAAGCAAGCAAACAAAATGAAAACCTTCTTGCTCCATGTTGCCACTAGTGAATAGCAGAACAACAACAATGTAAATATGCATCCCTGCTAAGTATTTCTGGTGTACACGGGACTGACTCAAAATAAACGTCGGTGCCCAACTTCGTGTAATGAACGAATGTGTCGCCAACAGCAACAGTGTGACTCAAGTGTTTTAAATAGTTCTTGGACAAGAATGGAAGTCTGTGGCAGGGAGGAGTAAGTTGCATCAGGCCTTGGATGCATAACCAACGCTTCAGAGATGTGTTAACGACAACACTAACATAGATTATAGACAGCTGTATCCATTAAAATCCCTCTTTGGTCTTTGATTTACCCCAGAAAAACTCATCTCCAAGTTACATATTTAGAAGTTTTTCAATGAAAATGAGCCTTTCCTTTTGAGAAATGGCTTTAATGTAACTCTACACTGTTGCTTCCTCCCCACTCATGGCAGCTCGAGCACACCAGCTCACCTGTAATTCTGCACAAAAACTAAAACTACTTACACTACACAAGTTGTAACTGAGCCATACATGTTTGAACTGGAAACTGATTCTAAAGAATAATGAGACGGATAGTTCAAACCCGCTGCAAGGTGGAGCGGTGGTTAGCACCATCGCCTTGCAGATAGAAGATCCCTGATTCGCATCACAGTGAGGACGCCCGGGATCTTTCTGCATGGAGTTTGCATGTTCTCCCCATGCTCTCTGAGTTCTCCGGCTTCCTCCCACAGTCCAAGAACATGTTGAGGTTAACTGGTGATTCTAAATTGTCCGTAGGTGTAAATGTCAGTGTGGATGGATGGATGGATGGATGGATGGATGGATGGATGGATGGATGGATGGATGGATGGATGGATGGATGGTCCAAACCCTGATGACAGGACTGGTTGATCAGGTTTGTTACATATGAATCCCTGGAAGTCTGAATCCGTGTTTTTGAGACTGTCACTAGTGCAGTGCAATCTCAAGGTGGAAATGCCCAACCATGGCTTTCAGTGGTGATTTTCCTCATAACATGTCTTCCAGCATAAAACAAACACCTTATGGACACCTTAGTAAGGTAGAAATGTCTCAATAAAGTGCCAAATCAATACATGAGCAACAGACGGAGGAGACTAACGCCTATGAAAGAGTCTTACCGAGCATGCTTTTGTTGGGTTCAGACAGACACATGTCCTTCTCAGCGCTGGGGAGCACAAACCCGACCACGAAGATCTCCACTCCGTCAGCCATGAGCGCCAGCCCCAGCACAAAGTACAGGGTCCACTGGAACTTCCCGTGACCACATTCCTGCAAAATGGTCTCGTACTGCTGAGCCAGCTCCTCCTGGTCCTTCCTCCTCTCAGCCTCGGACACGCCGACATCTCTGAACTGCTGAGCTCCGGCCCTCACCGATCCCGGACCTCCAGCCAGGCTGCCTTTGCCCGAATCCGCCCTGGGAATCCCTTGGTACTCGCCCTCGTAGATCTCGTCGTCCTCGTCGTGCCCCTCGGTGGAGTCGCTGTGGCCGCCCTCATCATCGTTGGCCGCCTGGCTGTCTCCGCGGTAGTAGCCTCCGTCCTGGCTCCCCTGCATGGGGTAGTCGTCATCATCGTCCTCTTCGAAGCGGCTGTAGGAGCGCTTGCTGTACTCGTCGCTCACCCGGTCCACTGAGCGGCCCACCTTCTTGGTGGCTTGCCGCTTGACTTCCTTGGCAATGTCTTTGGCACCTTTTATGAAGGCAGTCCGGTTTTGGTAGCCGTCCTCCATTTTTAAAGAGGTTCAGACGATGCAACAGGAAGTCAGAGGTTTAGCTGAGAGGCCACCTGAACGCGCCGGGCCTTCAGACTCCCAACTCGCTTCACCGACAACTGGCTCTTCTTATGCCTGAGGAGGAAATGGAAATTTAAATTAGTCAAACTGTTCAGACAGGTTTTTAGGCATGTGGTAGGACTCATTTGGTATTAAGGGGATCATTTCACGGCAGGTTAAAAGGCATCAAGTTGCATTTCTGGTGACCTTTTTGACGATGGATGGAGTCCAAATAATGAGAGATGGCTGTTTGACGTGACATTTTTAGTTAGAAAGTCGATCACAGAGAGAAAACTCAAGATGATAAACCCAACGTGGCAACAAAAAGACGCAAAGCAAGGGATGCAAAATGACAATCACTTCATCCCTGCACCCAGGAGTTCATTTTTCATTATCCATCCGTGTCTATTAATGTTCAGAAACACTTTCTTTTTTCAGTCTGCTCACAGAAGCACTTAACCAGCCTTTTAATGCTGCACTTCCAGATTACACCTGTTGCATGTCCATATCCAGCCAGCATGTGGTTCTCTGCTGAGTCACACTCGGGCCGGAGCAGTAATTACAGGGCGAGACATCAAGCTACGAACGCTGAGTGATGTCTAATGGATGTGTCTTGGTGTAGAAATGCCCAGAGTGCCTCGGTTCACAGTGAAGAGCTCTAGTATGTGACCATGACTCAAACAGATCAGACGCTCGTGTGTAGCAGCAACAACAACAACAAAAAATCACTGCGAGGTCTCCACTGGGTATGTAGTCATCAAATGAACATCTCTTCATTATGTAACTTAAAGACTGCACAAATCTTGCACTAAAAATGTGAATTCTTGAGCAGTTCAAGAGAATAAATGTCAGGTTTACCGAAGAAAACTAATCTAAGCTCCAAAGGTCCCTAATTACTGATTTAGAGGAGCTGCATGCCAAAACAAATTGGGCTTAAAATTGGGGAAAAAGAAGCTGGGAAATTAATGCCCAGTTTACAAATTAAACACGTTGTTTAGAGAACATTTTTACAGTGCCGACGTGTTCGGTTTGAAAGCGACACATACGCTCCTGTACGAGGACGCCGTGCCTCGAGATGCAATAAAGCAGCACGTCACTTTGAATTTGCGGTGCAGCGAAACAACAGACAGATAATGATGAGACGTCGCTGCAACGTTCGCTCCTGCTTCCAAAAAAATAAAAAATAAACAACATCTGACAGGTAATAATGGACCTGACGGAGCTTCAAAATGTTTGAAAGTGTGTGAAGCGTGCACAGGATTTCATAAAACACGGAGGTCATGGGTCAGGATCTCTGAGCCGGCATCGTCCTACATGATGCTGTCATGATGCTAATTCTGGTAGAAAACTCTTAAATATCTTCAGTATATTTCAATTTGTTTATATTTTTGGGCTAAAAGCAGTGAAATATACACACATTTATGAAACTGTAATGATAGATTTGAGTGTACAGAAGAAGAAGAAGATGAATCTTTCTTGCATGCATGAGCTGCAAACATTACAGCTACAAAACATAGACACAGTGCAACACTATCAAGCATTTAAAGCACAAAAGGACATTGTTTTTGTCAAATTACACCACCAAAAACAAACTCTATTCTATGGTGTTTGTCACACGAGTGCATCATAATATTCAAAAACCAAGGCGTCCATCTCCAACGCGTCTTTTCCAGTCACAGGGCGGCCGATTCTTCACTGTCAGCACGATGAGCAGATTTCCTGGCACAGATCAAAGGAGCCCTACCAGGCCCGGTCAGCCGGGCTAAACTGTGGGACTCTAACCTAATAATATCTGGGGCCGAAGCACTTACAGGCCTGGAATATCCAAACACAAGCAGGCCCTCTGGTGTCAAACACTATCAGCAGTGCGTGAAGCCAAGAGGAGACAGCGAAGGCAACACGAGCGGTTTATTTTAAAGCTCAGCCATCATCTACCTGCGCAGGTGATTTCATCTGTTTTGCCTGGTTGCGCTCTCAGAACAGCGTGGGTGTAAACACGCTGAGCTTTATCAACACCAGAGCTGCACAACACTGGAAAAAAGAAAAAAAAAACTGACAGCGTGATATTTTTTTGCTTTACTGTGATAAATGTTGCAGCATGAAAGAGACGCAGGAATTCTCAGCAGACGACTTCAGTTTGTGGAGCTGATTTACGGTAAATGTTCGATCCTGTTCAGCGTGTCGTCTCGTGTAGACGTTTCCAACAGAGTCACTGCTTTTGATCAGCATCACCCTTTCAGTGGCCGAAACACATCCACACAACTAACACTGTGTTTGTTTCTGTAGCACAATCTTCCTTTTCAGTGTTTCTCTCCTCGTTCTCACTCATTTTGCAGTGCACATGTGGAGTCTGCATGTCAGCAAACTGCTTTTAAAAGTCAGTGAATTCAAGAAACCTTAAATCAGAGCAAGTTATGTTCAATCAGACAGACTTTACTTGCTGGAAAATGAGAACCCTCCTGAGTTCATTCGCTAATCGACGCCTTCGTTCTCTTTTTATTCCCGACATGCAGCTGCCACTAATAACATCAGTGTCTGCTCTGCTCTAATAAGTGCACATGATAAGTTTCTCACTAAGTCATGACAGCAGGATCCCGAAGCTAAATGGAATTCAGCCGGCGTTAACTCGGTTAGTGAGCATTTCCTACCGTGAAATCCGTGTTAAAATATCATCTGTGAAAACAGCCTGCTGGCGAGAACGACTGCAATCACCTGACAATGATGTAAACAGCAGAGCTCCTAATCCATATTGAGTTCAAAGAAGAAGAAGAAAAACAACACTAGTCGAATAATGAATGTCTTGTAAGTCCCTTTGGGTAGAAAACAAAGAAGATGAGAACAGAAAAAACTAAATGTACTTTAATTACTCCACCTGCAGCAATACAGCAAACAAACAATGCTTCTGAAACAGTGTGATTCCAGCTACATCCATCACACCTCAGCCTTCTTTCTTAGTTTTTCTTTGCAATAAAAAAACAGATTTGATGTCAACAAGTAACACCAGAGTGTTAAGTGTATTTTTTATTATTATTTACTTGTCTATTTTTACATATAGTTTGCTCAGTTTGCTTATTTGTTATTGACATATTACGTTCTTACTCTGCATGTGGCGTTTTCTCAGTTGCATTTATTTATCGATGACAAGTTTTCCTCGATTCCTCTGTTCTTATTGAGTCTGACATTTACTACATAATGCTTATGGAGGGGAGTTTGCATGAAAAGTGCCTTACAAAGAATGTCAGATTTTTCTATTTTCTCACCTAACTATATTTAAAGAATGTCTCTTAAGCAGATAGATAGATAGATAGATAGATAGATAGATAGATAGATAGATAGATAGATAGATTCTTTATGCAACAGGTAAACTGGCCCTTCTTTCATAAAGAAACTGATGTGTAAATGCAAACACTAGTCAGAGGCAAACAAAAGCTTTCAGGCCACTTTTCTCATTTCCTCGCTGTTGTCAAGTTGACAGCCTCTCTGCAGCTCACACAGGCTGCAACACACAGCTCTGACAGAGGATGGAGGAGAGGGAGAGGAGGAAGGCCCGAGGATGAGGATGAGGAGGAGGAGAATGGATGGATGGGATTTTGCTCCCTGGTCTCGCATTTTACTTTTTTTTTTCCTATTCCCCCCCCCCTCTTCTATTCAAAAATCAATCAGCGCCAGCTTACCACTTGGCCGGATCATAACTCATGCAGCGAAGCTTATTAAAGCGTTGGGAGATTTCTATCAGCAGCCGAGTCGTGATGAATAATCTGGACACCTGATAGCATCGCATCAACGGCAGCCAGCAGAGAAATCCCCCCAAAATCTTCCTGCAGGCCCAATATTCGGTCCGTTTCCAACATAAAATCTGCACTCTGCTGCTTTTTTCCCCTCTCCTTGCGGGATTTGGTGTATTCCAAAAACAGCAACGAGAGTCTGGTTTAAAAATGTGCAAATTTAAGCTTTCCGTGCAGCCACAACTGTCTTGACTGATTTTAAGAAAAACATGGCCTTGTGCTCACAGGCCAATTTACACAGCCGAGCAATTCGGCCGGCTTTAAATAGAAATCTGCCACCGATATCAGCCGATTATCTCATCGCCTCTCACCCTGGCATATGCGCTCATTCTTAGAAAAATCAACGCTGCCAGCAGCTTGTCACGATTTTGGATTAGATTATAAATCCGATTCACAAAAATCGATCTGTGTGAAGCAAACGGTTGCAGAACACGCCCATCGTGTGCTTCTCCTGATGTCTTAATGCTTCCAAAAAAGAGAGGGGAAAAAAAAGAAAAAGAAGAAGAAAAACGGGAGCAAACAGCCACTAACGGCTAATTATTCCTCGCGTAAAAACGCTAAATCTCACCTCAGAATCCTGCGATGCGAGCGTCTCCCTCTTCAGCTGATGGTGGTGGTGGTGGTGGTGATGATGAGGATGAAGGAGGAGGATGAGGATGGTGATGCTGCTGCTGCTGCTGCTGTACGAGGGGCTGTTGCTGTTGAGCCGAGCGGCGGTGATGATGATGATGATGCTGCGCGCTTCAGGAGGAGAGAAGCCCACGCCATCCACACACACGCAGTGATGCGCAGGGGTCCCCTCCCCCACGCAAACCCTTCACGAGCACATTAAAACGCCTTCATATCTACATAGAGGAGGGAGGCGGGTGAGTTTGGCGCATCTCTGCACACAATTCTGCGCACATTTCCTTCGGCTGTTGCGCCTTTACGCATTTTTCTTTTCTTTTTGCGCCATTTTCCCCAGCCAGAGGTCACAGCTGAGATGATGGTGCTGGAGGATTTCCTACTGAACACTCATACTATGTGTTCAGCACATCCTCATCTGCCTTTTTTTTTTTTTAACGAATATGCGATTGTCTGTGCACATGAATGTCAAAATGTGCGCACAGACGACGCACACGTGCAAGCACACCTGACTCCTGTTGCCATGACGACCACTTAGATTTTTCTCCATCCTTCCGACCGCATCAAGACCTGCGACGTAGAAACGTGAGGCTCCTTCACAGACAGTGATGTCATTAATCTCCCACATATGGCTCCTCCGTGGACACGAGGAACATAAATATTAGTCATTACTACTGTACACGGAGCTGCGCGGCGGCCAAATGCGCACTCAAGTGTAAGTTTGAATACATTCAGCTCAAGGAAAAGAGCTTGAGCAGTGATTCCTGCTTTAAATAAATGGATTATAACATGTCTTTCATAAGCAGCTGTCAGGCAAACAGCTGTTCAAACCAGATGTTTTAATCTACAGGTTTTGGTGGATCATGTGAGACATAAAACACCAAGACACTCCTGAAAATCTTAGGTACATGCCATTTCAGTTTGAAGGAACATTTTCTTATATTGAAACTAACAACCAGAGGAACCATTCCTCCTCCTGATACTGAAAAGGAGAGAAAACAGCAAAAATCAGTGTCAATCTGGCAGCAACAGGGTTAGAACAAGATACCTGGAATACTGTCACGTCTAAAAGCTGCAAAAAAAAAATGCAAAAAAAACAACAACAAAAAAACAAAAAAAAGTGAAAATAACAGCAAATATGTATAAAATAATACGTTCTGCTGATTTACACACTGTATAACAGCTATTTCATGGTCACACATTGTCAAAGAATTAATTATTATTATTATTATTATTATAAATACGGACTTTTGAATTTTTGCTATGTTTGGAAATTTTGCTTTACAGCCAACATTTAAATTAATATTTATTCTGTGATTTTACTAGATATTATCTGTTGTTTATAAAAGAGGGAAAATCTGTAAAATAACAGTAAAAACGATTTACTATGTTTACTATACATAACTTTTCTTTCAAATAAAAGGCAAATATCTCTAAAGTAATGATATTTTTAACTGATTTAAATACAGCAAAAATTCCAATTTTACAGGCCTATACTTAGTGAAAGAACAAATGTCCATTTGTTCTTTCAAATATTATTTTATTTTTTTATTTTTGACCTCT